TTATCCAACTTAAATCCGTTCCTACGAGTCCTATCCTGCTCGGATATTATAAGAACTTTATCTATATCTCCTTTATTGATTCCTTTCACCCACTTAAACACTTCTATCGTATCTCCCCGCACTCTTCGTCTTTCTAGGGTTTGCAAGTTTAGTTTCTTTAATCTATCTTGATATGGAAGGTTTCTAAGTCCCGGAATCATTTTCGTCATTCATATGGAAGGTTTCTAAGTCCCGGATACATTTTCGTCATTCATATGGAAGGTTTCTAAGTCCCGGAATCATTTTCGTCATTCATATGGAAGGTTTCTAAGTCCCGGAATCATTTTCGTCATTCATATGGAAGGTTTTTAAGTCCCGGAATCATTTTCGTCACACACCCTACAGACTGATGATAATATCACACAGACCATCTACACTGGTGGATCTCTCAACACCGCCTGTGGGAGGGCTGGAAGTGCTATCGTTGTGACTCAACCTAACGGTCATATAATTGAGAAAGGAGTTAGAATTCAACGGGTGTGCAAATGAAAAGGGAGTTAGAATTAACAACTGGGCATCCACTCTACAAACTTAATTAGTTGCCATAATCACTGACAGTCTCATCATCACTGATTCTCTATCCTCACTACTTGCACTGACACCATCAACTTAAACTGCCACGCGCTTGTCTCTGAAGCCAGACACAAATATGCGTACCTTGTTAACCGGGGTGTCAAGGTCAAACTGTTGTAGCTCCCCTCTCACACAGGCCTCAAAGACTAAACTCGCGTCTAACAAAGGCACTGTTGAATACAATTTGGGTCTGTCAAAAAGAACCCTTAAAACTGTATTTACGAAGGAGCTTATTGATGAATTTGAAGCCAATAGACAAGTGCAAACAGGCACTAATCCATAGTTTACCATGATGAGATGTATCAAGTGAAACGTGTATATTGAACAAGCAATAAGATCACCAGATTACAAGATGTAACCGCTAGACCAAGGTTAGGATATAAGTACCTCTGACAGTATATCCCTCAGGCAAATGTGAACAAAACTAAATGTAAAGTGTGTGGCCTTTTAGACGGGTCCAAGCACACTGTGTGTGATGAAATGGCACTACACTTTATTTATAATGGCAAGATAGCCGGCATATTAAGATTATATCCACTTTTTTCGCACTCAGTAGCTATATCAGTTCCCATGTAACCAAACATACAATGTGCTTGAATACCTCTCACGCAAATGTGAATAACAGTGTGCGGCCAGACATACTGCCTCACACTCCTGTACTCACGCAGTTGCGAATAAGTTATCCTTTATGTATAGAGCTAAATAAAGAATTTATTTGAAATACTCAAACATTCAATGTCATAATAGCCTGACCACGGGGGTTATACTTACCCTTTGTAAACTCTACTCTGTAATCTTTTTGCGCTACCGCTCACAGGAAGAGAATGGGGGTGCACAATAAACTAGCCGCTGTGTCAAAATTAAAATCGAATCCAGGTAAAAAAGTCACAGGTAAAAAAGTCACAGAAAAAAGTCACAGGAAAAAAAGTCACAGGAAAAAAGAAAAGTTAACTATCGAATTCTCACATTTTTTAAGGTTAATATGTCAATCAGTTTCAGTAAAGGAATATGCAGAACTGATGGTAACCTAACCTAACCTAACCTTTATTACCGGACACCATAAATTAATTGTGACTTTTTTTCTGTGACTTTTTTCCTGTGACTTTATTACTGCCACCTTAAAATCACCCACACTACAACCACAACTATCACCCACACCACCACCACCCACACAACCACCACCATCACCCACACAACCACCACCAACACCCACACAACCACCACCAACACCCACACCACCACCATTTCCACACCCACACCAACATCACCCACACAACCACCCAGACAAACACTCCTGAGCCAACGGATAGCCAGGTATGTGACATTACGTCATGTCGACATATTTAGACTCCCAGGAGGTTGCCGAGTCATCCTTGTCTGGGGACTACAATACATCCCCCCCAGAGTGATCATAAACGAAGGTACAACGTTACTGCCTACACAACACATAAGAATATCCTCAACTTTCGGTTATGGTAATTCGCTGATTCAAGTTTATCGTCTTTGTTATTCAAATTTTTATACTTTGTTTCATTTGTTATCGCTCTTCAGTAAACATCTCACATATCAACAAAAGTCATAATTGACATGTGCACTTATAACCCTCCCAACGTAAATTATTTAAGATAAGGTTAAGTGAAATGCATTAGTGGTTATTTACGAGTATATCAGGCGGCACTTAGCTTGATAAGGGTTACGTAAGTTGTATTTTTTCCACTATTACTGGTGGTGTGAGGTGGTCTTTAACTGGCCCACATTATCTATGAGGTAGGCAAAATTTTTACGAAACTTAACTAAATGGGTCTTTCCATCTCCGGTAACAAGATTATTAACTTACAAATGTTTGAGACTTGACACTATCATTCCCCAGAGTTAATATGTACTCAAGCCCAGAGCCTCATACCCTGTTCTTAACACACCTGTTGTAACACTCACCTGGTCTGGGCTACCTGTTGTAACACTCACCTGGTCTGGGCTACCTGTTGTAACACTCACCTGGTCTGAGCTACCTGTTGTAACACTCACCTGGTCTGAGCTACCTGTTGTAACACTCACCTGGTCTGAGCTACCTGTTGTAACACTCACCTGGTCTGAGCTACCTGTTGTAACACTCACCTGGTCTGGGCTACCTGTTGTAACACTCACCTGGTCTGGGCTACCTGTTGTAACACTCACCTGGTCTGAGCTACCTGTTGTAACACTTACCTGGTCTGAGCTACCTGTTGTAACACTCACCTGGTCTGGGCTACCTGTTGTAACACTCACCTGGTCTGAGCTACCTGTTGTAACACTCACCTGGTCTGAGCTACCTGTTGTAACACTCACCTGGTCTGGGCTACCACACTCACCTTCAGCTACAACACTCACCTGGTCTGGGCTACCTGTTGCAACACTCACCTGGTCTGAGCTACCTGTTGTAACACTCACCTGGTCCCCAGGCTACCTGAACACTCACTCTACCTGTTGTAACTGACCTGCTCACCTGTTGTAACACTCACCTGGTCTGAGCTACCTGTTGTAACACTCACCTGGTCTGAGCTACCTGTTGTAACACTCACCTGGTCTGGGCTACCTGTTGTAACACTCACCTGGTCTGGGCTACCTGTTGTAACACTCACCTGGTCTGAGCTACCTGTTGTAACACTCACCTGGTCTGAGCTACCTGTTGTAACACTCACCTGGTCTGAGCTACCTGTTGTAGCACTCACCTGGTCTGAGCTACCTGTTGTAGCACTCACCTGGTCTGAGCTACCTGTTGTAGCACTCACCTGGTCCTGTTTAGCCCAACACTCACCTGGTCTGAGCTACCTGTTGTAACACTCACCTGGTCTGAGCTACCTGTTTAACACTCACCTGGTCTACCTGTTGCCAACACTCAACCTGTTGCCTACCTGTTGTAACACTCACCTGGTCTGAGGCTACCTGTTGTAACACTCACCTGGTCTGGGCTACCTGTTGTAACACTCACCTGGTCTGAGCTACCTGTTGTAACACTCACCTGGTCTGGGCTACCTGTTGTAACACTCACCTGGTCTGAGCTACCTGTTGTAACACTCACCTGGTCTGAGCTACCTGTTGTAACACTCACCTGGTCTGGCCTACCTGTTGTAACACTCACCTGGTCTGGGCTACCTGTTGTAACACTCACCTGGTCTGGGCTACCTAACATAAGAAAATAAGGAGTCTGCAATAGGCCGGTTGGCCTGTGCATGGCAGCTCGTCGAGAGTTACTACCACTCTCTATCATCCATAAATCTATCTAGCCTCCTTTTGAAACTTTCCAGAGTTCCCGCACTTACTACAAAGTTGCTAAGCTTGTTCCACTCTTCCACCACCCTATTTGTGAACCAGTTTCTTCCTATCTCCCTCCTAAACCTAAACTTATCCAACTTGAATCCGTTGCTCCGAGTCCTATCCTGCTCGGATATTATAAGAACTTTATCTATATCCCCTACCTGTTGTATTTCACTTTCATAAGTGAAATATTTGACCACTAAAAATACTTTGACCTTAAAGGACTTCCACTCTTTAAATCTCACCTTAACTGTTTTCAATATGGAGAAGTTGAAACACGAATGTAATGAAGAAAAAATGCCAAAGATGGAAGAACTAACAGACTGACAGATAAACAATAATATACATAGCTACTGAAGAAGCATTAATGTCCAGGTGTACCACGTCATATAAACACTCGAGGTACTGTAAGACTTTAACTGGATTACGTTCCCTTAACACCAGTCAGCAGACAAACACAAATAAAGGTTCTTCACGTTAACTGTACCCGATGCTAACAGGTTTGATCTGAGGTTAAAACTAAAGTATTATTATGTGTGTGTGTGTGTGTGTGAGAGAGTACTACTATAGTAAGAGATCTACCGGGTTGTTTACACTAACCTAACCTAATGTGGACGCTAGGTAGACCGCACGTTCCAGTGTAAATACAGTATCCCGGTAGACCAAACGCCAGCTCAGTATAGTAAAACCCAGAATATTCCACAGTTCATCCGTCATAACCACAACATAGACGCTTGTCGTCAACATAACACACACACACACAATGCTCTAATACGTTTCGGAGCGTCAAAGAGGAATGTTGGATATCCCAGGTGAAAGCTTTTCAGCATTTGATGACGTCAATGAACTTGGTCGCCTCTACCAAAAGGGGAGTTCCCGCCTCCTCTCCCGATTACACCACCTTTTGCAATTGTAAAACCCTTTAAAAGCACAACGGTATAGTAACCGATATTATATTCTTAGATATTTTAGGCCGAATGGTTTATTTAGTGAAGGTTACCTGAAATACAAATGTAAATAATAAAATTTCTGAGGTTGTTATAGTTATATAGTAAGAAACATCTGGCAGCCGCACCAAACGGCTCGTATATAAACTCCGGTAGTGCGGCTGTAGGAACATTAGGCTGGTATTACACTCGCTTAGGTACACGATAGGTGCCATCGTCAGCTCAGGACACGTTAAACGTCTTTTACGGCTTTTTCCACACTGGATATCTACACCAAAGTAAGTTTCGTGTATATCACGGTTAGTTTCACCAACAAGCACATCAGCAGCGTCTTCCCCAGGTTAATATTTTTTGTATTTACCTGAAAACAGAAAATTAAGTACCCGAACTATCAGATATCTCACTTTACATAAAGATAGTTGTCTCTAAACAACTAGACATCACTCTTTTTATTAAGATCTATAATTCAATAATCAACGACACCAACTCAGAAATCAGATCTCTTGTTTCTTCTGACACTGAAACTCGTATTAGTTGACCGACCATCTTATATGGCGGTTTAAAACAATCCTAAAGTTGTAGTGTTCAGGGATTCATAGCAAATTATATTAAGAGGAAAAGATATTACGATGCATAAGAAGTCTCACATGTCAAGAATACGAAACACGTGCGTGTCTTGCAGTGTCAGAGTACTAAACACGTGTGTGTCTTGCAGTGTCAGAGTACTAAACACGTGTGTGTCTTGCAGTGTCAGAGTACTAAACACGTGTGTGTCTTGCAGTGTCAGAGTACTAAACACGTGTGTGTCTTGCAGTGTCAGAGTACTAAACACGTGTGTGTCTTGCAGTGTCAGAGTACTAAACACGTGTGTGTCTTGCAGTGTCAGAGTACTAAACACGTGTGTGTCTTGCAGTGTCAGAGCACTAAACACGTGTGTGTCTTGCAGTGTCAGAGTACTAAACATGTGTGTCTTGCAGGTGTGTCGTCGCAGTCATGAAGCTCAACAACAGAGGTCTACAAGTCACATTGAAAGATAACAGCGGGGATATTGTCACATCTTTAGGTAATTGACTCAATCCTCAGTGTTTCGAACTGGTCCAGTGAGACTGAACCAGTTAAATAAGACTGAAATAGTCAAGGAATACTAAGGTTTCAACTTATTCATGTAACCAATAATATACATTTTATGGTTGTTCAAATATACAATAAAAGTATTAAACAGAATGTAAGAAGAAAAACTCAAGACTGAAAAAAAATATCATCTAGGGATCTGTAACCACCAAAACTCCGTCAGTGTTGGATGATACTATTTTTTTCCTTCCACTTTCCCTAACAGATAGTGCGGGTCCAGCACTCTGGCATTTACAGTGTCAGATGATGCTGCTTTCAGGGGTCCAAGACGAAATAATAGGGTCTAGGAGGGGAACACAACTGATCCTTCCTCATGTCAACAACTCGTTGCCACGGGACCTAACCAGCGCCAATCCTGGCCAACATCGATGCCGGGATGTAGCTACCACTCAACATTATTTTTCTGGCAACATTTCACGGACAAATTGGACAGACTCCTCGAGGTAAGGCCGACTTTCAACCATGTGGTTCTAGTCAAAACCGAGAAATGTCATTTATACTTTACGAGTACCTGTAATTCTTATTAGGTTTCTCAGTCATTTCTTTTTTTTTAAGCTTTCGTATAATTCATTCTCACTGCCTTTCTTTTACACGTACCTTTTTCTTTTAATATGAAGTATCATTACCTTCTTCCCCAACACTAACTACTTCACCACCAATTTATTTATTTACCGTTGAATAATCTATTTCAAATTCTTCTTCTTGGTCATTTTATATCTTTCTTCTCACATATCCAGTTCTTCGCCCCACTTCCTCCCGCACCAATCTTCTTCCTTATATAAGAAACGAGGCAAAATATACACTGTCATTGTCTTATATTAGGGGCGCCGGTGATAGAACAAATATACACTATCATTATCTTTTATTATGGGGGCCTATTGTAGAGTGGTACAGCTCTCGCCTCGCAAGCGAAATAACGCGGGTTCGATTCCCGGGCAGGTGGAAAGTTGTTTGGAGCTTTCAATAACTTACTGACAAAAACCTATGACTCTTCAGGCTTCTACGCCCTTGACAAAAAAAAAAACCTATGACCCTTCACACCTTGCACAGGATGTAGGAGAGTGCTTAATAAAAATAAAATTGTGTGATGCAACTGACCTTCTCTTTCTTCTCGTCAGCCCATCACCGAGGAACATCAAGTCTGATATGTTCGACATCCAGCCCAGAAAGAAGCGATCCTGCAGGGAGCTGACGCATCAGGTCCCGGTATAACGGCTCGTGCAACCTCGACCCGTAAACAGAAATCCAAGATGTGACTTTGGATAGCAGGTGTGTGGGGAGCGGACCATTACACCTCAACCTGCATGATGAGCTCCTACAGGATACGTAGGATTGCGGGTCCTTCTTTAACGAATGACACTGACCTGTACTACATATCCAAGATGTGACATTGGATAACAGGCCCTTGGACGACGGACGATAACACCTGGACCTTCCATACAGTGCCAAGTAAACCACCCTCCTACAAGAGGCGACCTTCGACGACAGCTTCGAGTGGAGTGGACGACCTCACTGGGACCTACATGAGGGGCCGAGATGAGACTTCGGCTCCAGGTTCTGGCAGAACGGACGTGACACCCGGAGTCGTTATAGAAGGTCTCATTATAACACCCGGGAGGGAACCTAAACACCCTGGCACACATCTGGTCCTGGTATGTCGGATGATCACACTTGATGACGTCCAAGATAGATGAGCTATATCTCCAACATGAAGAAGGATGTCTACTTGTCTGCAGCAATTAGCTCAGCGTTGTACTTACAATCCTAGGAAGAGATAATGTTCTTTCTAGTTGTCAATGTCACAACCGTAGATCATCAAGTCCAAAATATATCAACTAGTTGTCTCAGGAACTATTAAGGCACCAGAAACTATTACAAATTTCTCATTACTGTGAAGAATGATGTAGTTATGTGTGTAATAAAACAATGACAATACAATTATTTTTTTATAGCCTAACGATTCTCTGACAATAACACTAGGATAAGTTAGTATTTTTTTCGCACAAACTTTATGAAATGTAAAAATATAAGTTATTTATCTCAAGAGCTTCTCATATTTCACACCAAAATATATTCGGGCGTGATGAGGTGAACCCGGTGTTATGTCGAGTTAATCTCCTGTTAACCCCGTGTAAATCATGTAGTAGTTCTGTGTTAATCCTTTTTTTTTACGGGATTAGCCCACACGGGCACAGGTCACTGACCCACATCGGGGACTGGGGGTGTAAAAATAATAATAATAATAATAATAATAATAATACAGAATAATAAATAAAAAAAATAAAAAAAAGATCAAAAGTGAGACACAATATTCTGTATGTATGTTGTGTTGCCAATAGTAAGAGAAACAATTGAGACCCTGCAATTGTGTGTAAATGAGGCAGAAAGTCAGATCAGCAACCTGGGACTTGGTCACAATTTTTGTGATGCCATATGGCAGCAGGGTCTACCATTAGACAACACATTATGCTTCCAATATCTTCCCAGGCGGTAGTACCTCCCTGTTTGGTAGCTGCCTTGAGATAAATGTATAGTATATATCAGGTGCCTACAGTAGAGCTCAGGTTCTCAACTGGCTCAGCCATGTTGCTAATATTGCTATTATTATCCACTCTGTGTCTGTTTTTTTCTGGCTAAATAAACTGATTCAAATCAAAACTTACTACTGTGTTAAACCTAGGTTAAAGCTGTGTTAATCCTACGTTAATCCCGTGTTAATCATTTGTTAATTCCACATTATTCATATGTTAATCCCGTGGAAATACCGTCAGGAGAGGCGGCCGACTGTCGTCAACCCAGGGTAATGTCGACTTTGACCTTGCGTCAGTCAGTCCTTGGGCGGATGTGAAACTGACGTCACCAGTCAACTTCTAGGGAGAAAAACGAATCGTACAAATTTTTTTGTGTTGTAAACGTTCATTTTGTTTATCATTCGCCACTTATCAGCTCAAGCGCTCTATCCAGTGTTAGTACAGGAGGAAACCAGAGAACGGGAAACCTGTGATGTTTGTTTGATAGTGAGGGTAACACTGGGTAACACCCTTCTCACATGCGTCTGGGTCGAGACTCACACGTGACACGACCAAACATCACAGGTTTCCCAGCCCCCGGGTCATGTATTCTCTACTTCAAACGTTTATCTAATTTTAAATCAAAACGTTTATCTCTTGTCTCCTAAAGAATATTAGATAATGCCTTTCTTTTTATTTAGTGTTCACACGGAAATTATTTTGTGTTGTAATGCCGATAAGCACGTGTTGTTGTTATGATTATTATTATTATTATTATTATTATCATTATTATTATTATTATTATTATTATTATTAATGTGTGTGTGCGCACGTGTGTGTGTGTGTCACATAGGGTGGTATAATGCGTCTAGTGTGGCAGCATTATGTTAATGTTAGGATGCAGGCACTGCTTGCTTCCTCTCGCTTTCAGCTACCGCCGCTGGCTAGCCCTCGTGGTGAACAGGGAAGCACCATGCCTAAGTCTTCCCCTGCCAATACACAGCCTCTTCACCTTCAAGATTTCTGCTGTGCCTCCTCGTGGCAACACACGGTAACTGGGTGTCTCGTGGGCCCAGGCTAGACCAGCAGGGGATCTCGGAACAGCAGTGTGCCCCAGAGGGACGGCGCATATGCCCACTGGCATGTGGACATGCCCAGACGCCTACCAACCACTGCCCCGCTGCCTTGCAGATTAACCTTGGCAGGTATAAGGCTACGGGAGTAAAGCCCGAACGAAAAATTTGCAGTGGAGCCCCGCATCAGGCAGACATGCTTACAGAGCTCCAGTAAAACCCCAACGACAGTATTGGCAGAAGAGGTGACCAACACGGGAACCCAACGGATGAAAGCACTGCACGATGGACAGGCGAATATGGTGAAACCCAACAAACTGGGCAGTCCACTGCAACTCTCCCTCTCTCCAGCCGTTGTAACTATCTGCACCACTGGATCAGGAAAAGAGAGAGCCAAGATGTGTGGTTGCAGTCTGCACTCCTGCCTCACCACATAAATCAATTCGCACAGCCATCATCCAGCTCATCATACTTCTGATTATCATCAAAAACCCTATACCCCAAAAATTCATATGGCGACAGACGAGTGGCGACGGGGATAGGCAGAGATGACTGCCGGGATTATTTAGTCACAACTCTGCACATGGACGGCATAAATAAGATGGTCATTTATGCACTGGGATCTAGGCAGCAGTGCAATCCGGTCCTGTCTGTGTGACTGAGTCGCCCTTTCGAAGGGCCACCCTGCTCACCCCACATGGGGAGGGGGCTTGAAAAAGTGCCTAAACATAGCCTGCCTAAAGAACCAACCTGCTTGGGCAACCGCACCCAGTAAGGTCATCCTTATGCGGTCGAAAACACAATCATAATCACAGATCAAACCAAAAACAAACTATACAACCTCTTATGGTCGCTGCATGGAATGTCAGGACCCTTCTGGATACTGGCACAAATGAGCGTCCTGAAAGAAGAACCGCCCTTGTGGCAAAAGAGCTGTCATGGAATAAAATCGACAGAGCAGCCATTAGTGAATCTCAGCTCCCAGACGAGGGTCGACTCAAAGAACAGGGGTCTGGCTATACCCCCTTCTGGAAGGGTAAGCCCACTGTGGAGAGAAACCGCATTTATGAAGTTGACTTTGTCATTCGCCAATCCATCCCACACAGGCTAACTGAAATGCCTGTTGGGATCAACGAGTGCTTCATGACGCTCCGAGTCCCACTGAATCACTCATGCCATTCATTCTTCATCAGTGCAGAAACCCCAACACTGGATGCAGAAGATGACATCTAAGAGGACTTTTACGCCGACCTTGAAAGAGTGCTAACTTCTATCCCCAGAGAAGATAAGGTTGTGCTCCTAGGTGACTTCAATGCCAGAATTGGAAGAGATGCTTACATATAACAAGGAATCGTGGGGAGAAACGGAGAAGGTAAGTGTAATCCCAACGGCCTAATCCTCAGCAAGTGTGCTGCACACAACCTCACATTCACCAATACCTTGTTTTGGCAGGCCGACAAGGTCAAAGGTTCGTGGCAACACCCACGATCCAAACACTGGCATCTCATTAACTACATTATTGTCAGAGAAAGAGATCGTCGAGATGTCCTCATCACCCGAGCCATGCATGGATCAGACCAGAGGCACTGATCATCGGCTCGTCAGAGCCAAAATCACTTCACGTCGCCCCAAAACGGTGAAGGCAGCAAGTCTCCAGAAGACTTTTTAACACTAAGCGTTTGGAGGAACCAGCGGTAGCACATGATTTTAGAGAGCAGCTCGAACATGGACTGATAAACAACCCGACAACAAACAACCAGAACCCGATGCCGAATGGGGTATTCTCGACACTGTCGTGACAAAAAACAAGCAGAGACCCTCGGCCAGACCGAAAGAATACACCAAGATCAGTTTGATGAAAAGACCCAGAAACCAACGTGCTCGTCGTTGATAAACGTGTTGCTTTCACTGATTAAAAAACAACCCTCAGTCTGGGATCAAAGCTGATACCTTCCACAAGAAGAAAGCGGCGGCCCAGCGCGAACTTCACAATCTCAAGAACGAATGGTTAATAAATAAAACATGCGTAATGCAAAAAGGTGCTAGTGCCAATTTAGCTGGCGTGGTGGACATCCAGTACCGGATGAGGGTACTTTTCAACGTAAGACGACTCCAGCCTGGAACAAGTGTCGGCAACTTCCATTACTGAACTTCAGTATGCAGACGACCTCACCCTTGTCGCTCACACTGAAAGCGACCTACAGGACATCCTGAACACCAACACAGATGCGTATGCACACTTCGGCCTTGAGGTGAATGTACGTAAGACTCGGATTCTTTTTCAGCCTGCCACTGGTTCAGACATACCTCCACCATCCAGGTGAACGGTACTAACCCCTCTCTAATGTTACCCACTTTCAGCATCTCGGCTCCCACCTGTCCACCACCGCGGAAATCGATAGAGAGATTCAACATCGGATTAGATGTGTATCTCAAGCCTTTTTCAGACTCCATACCCGTGTCTTCAGCTGTAGGGAGCTGAAATTATCTGCAAAGTTGCACGTGTATCGAGCAGTGGTCCTCCCCACCCTGCACTGCAGCAACGAGACATGGGTCACATACAGGAGGCACCTCAAGGCACGTGAAAACTTTCATCAACGTAGTCTACGTTCCATCCTCCGAGTTCGCTGGGAAGACAAAAGAACAAATGCCAGGATTCTCGCTGACAAACTGTAGGAGCATCGAGGCTACCATTATCCATGAACAACTATGTTGGACTGGCCATGTTACCCGCCAAAGCAGCTACTTTACAGTCACCTAACGATTGGTAAACATAAAGCTGGCGGGCAACTGAAAAGGTATAAGGATAATCTTAAGACAAACTTCAAAGTGTCAAATCGGCCCCCTCACCTGGAAGACGATCACTCCACACCGTAACGCTTGGAGGAGCACCACATGAGGTGTCATTACTTTCGATTTTGCCTGACTGCATACCTAGGCAGACAAGCACCAGGGCCGGAAAGACGCTGTCACCGCCCCTCCCGCACGAGATGTAGCCCCCCACACGTGCCACATCTGTGGACGACCCTGGCAGTCCCGTATCTGCCTCTCGAGTTACCTCAAAACTCACCAACGAAGGTGACATCCTGAATAACTCACATCATTGTATCATAGCTGGATGATCGTCATACTCGATTCCGAGTGACAGCAAAGTAGTAGTAGTAGTGAGGCTGCTGTGCATGGTGTGAAAGGCTTGTATGGTATTAGAGGCAGGTGTGGTGTGAGAGGCAGGTGTGGTGTGAGAGGCAGATATGCTGTGAGAGACAGGTGTGGTGTGAGACAGGTGTGGTGTGAGAGACAGGTGTGGTGTGAGAGACAGATGTGGTGTGAGACAGGTGTGGTGTGAGAGACAGGTGTGGTGTGAGAAACAGGTGTGGTGTGAGAGACAGGTGTGGTGTGAGAGACAGGTGTGGTGTGAGAGACAGGTGTGGTGTGAGAGACAGGTGTGGTGTGTAAGGCAGGTGTGGTGCGAGGGGCAGATGTGGTCTGAGGGGCATGTGTGGTGTGAGAAGGTGTGGTGTGAGGCAGATGTGGTGTAAGGCAGGTGTGTTGTTAGACAGGTGTGATGTAAGAGGCAGGTGTGGTGTCGTATGATACCACGCCTGACACCATGCCAGCTTCTCTGACAGGTATGGACAACAGTACTTTAAGCCGCAAAATGATTAATCCCGTGAAGCACATTTGTGGTGACGTATGGGAACCCGACAGGATCAATGGCCGGTGATAAAACGTATGAAGACCAACACTAGTCGTCCGTACACATATGACGCAACCCTTCCCTGCAGTGAGACTATCTTCCACGTCACATACAGTATATGGAGTCTCGATTGTATTTACATTGCTGGATAGACGAAATTTCCTTTGTGTGAATAAAGGAAAAAAATTAAATTTCTCAAAATACCATAGGGGCCTACTTGTGAACCAAAACCTCCATCTATGAGCAGTGAAAATGGAGAATTCAAGAGGTGAATGGCAACTTACTGAAGGTCAACAGATATATACAGCAGAAACGTCTCAAAATCTCCAGTGCCCAATTAGTTTCTCAGTCGTTCGGTTGTACATCACATAATTATATTCCATTTACAGCAGAATATAGAAAACAATATGCTGTTGGACGATGATTACTCAAAAAAAATTATTATTTTAAAACAATCGTCTGGCACCCTCTGTAGTGAAGATTACGGTGAGTTTTATGTCGGCATTTTGATAAGTTTGTGGATCGAATCATGTATTGTGGGATTGCCTATAGCAGCAGTGTCTGTTTTTTCTTTGGTCAATGATTTTAGTTTGTATACATTTCATATTTTATATAATTGTACTCACAAGAATATCATCCCACTTATTAAATTCGTTGCCGATGTTTCCTATCAAGTGTCATTCTTATGTTACTGAAGCATGTACTGTACACTGACCCTTGGCTGAACATGATCGTCTCATACAGGTCAACAGAACGTTGCTCCTCACACGTGTGGTGTCTAGCAATACTTTCAACGATTCTTATCTTCAGCTTCCAAATATATTAGTAGTCATTTTTGTCACCATTTTTGTCGTCATGTGTTTGTTACCATGTTTGTGTTTGTCATCATGTTTGTGCCTGTCATCATATGTGTGCCTGTCACCATGTTTGTTAACATGTTTGTATTTGTCATCATGTTTGTCATATTTTCCAATTAGTGACGGTGGCATTATATTGTTGATGCAACTGACCTTCTCTTTCTTCTCGTCAGCCCATCACCGAGGAACATCAAGTCTGATATGTTCGACATCCAGCCCAGAAAGAAGCGATCCTGCAGGGAGCTGACGCATCAGGTCCCGGTATAACGGCTCGTGCAACCTCGACCCGTAAACAGAAATCCAAGATGTGACTTTGGATAGCAGGTGTGTGGGGAGCGGACCATTACACCTCAACCTGCATGATGAGCTCCTACAGGATACGTAGGATTGCGGGTCCTTCTTTAACGAATGACACTGACCTGTACTACATATCCAAGATGTGACATTGGATAACAGGCCCTTGGACGACGGACGATAACACCTGGACCTTCCATACAGTGCCAAGTAAACCACCCTCCTACAAGAGGCGACCTTCGACGACAGCTTCGAGTGGAGTGGACGACCTCACTGGGACCTACATGAGGGGCCGAGATGAGACTTCGGCTCCAGGTTCTGGCAGAACGGACGTGACACCCGGAGTCGTTATAGAAGGTCTCATTATAACACCCGGGAGGGAACCTAAACACCCTGGCACACATCTGGTCCTGGTATGTCGGACAACCATAAAAAAAACTAAAATAATTAAGTCTTCCGTCAGCTAGGAATTATTTTTCTTCTACTGTAAAAACTTCAATGAAATGCATAAAAATTGTTACATGTTCGTATAGTCTTCGTCCTCCTGTACTGTGGAATTTGGAAATTTTCTTTAAGGAGGTGAAAAACTGACATTCAATAAACAGTACAACACATTAGGTTAGTATCTTAGAATTATCCGAATGATAAGGCCCATGTTAGGGGTCGAGATGAGGCCCATGTTAGGGGTCGAGATGAGGCCCATGTTAGGGGTCGAGATAAGGCCCATGTTAGGGGTCGAGATAAGGCCCATGTTAGGGGTCGAGATAAGGCCCAATTTATATTAAAATATCATTACCATAGTGAATTTAAGCGTTTTCTTTACCCATTGACCTGCCATCTTACGAAAAAATTCCGACCGTCAACTCCTCCGTTATCATCACCTATACCTAACTGTAAGTGCGAGCCATTTCAAAAACGGTCTAGGTTGGTGTGTGTCAGTGAACATGGTGGGTTAAGGACAAGTGGAGTAGCGAATTATTAAGTACACTTAAGGTTTTTTTTCCATTTCACGAGTAGAGTATTCCATCACAAGCGTCCTGGTGGTATAAGGTGATACAGTGCACCATGACTAACAACATAACTATCACATGTTTCCCCTAGAGTCTAGGTTATTGTATACTATCCCTCTTCCCCCAGTTACCATCCTTTTAATCCTTTCCCTCAGTCTCCTCCCTTCCTTTACCTACCCTGTCATCCTCCTCTCCCTACCTACCCTCAGTGTGGGGGGGAAGGTTGACCACAGAGGGGGGGGGACCAACCGCTATCTCCTGACACATTCCTCTCTCTCTCTCATTACCTCGACACGAAAAAAGGAGTAAGAGTAAGAAAATAGAATTAAAGAATAAAGAAGAGAAACAGAGAAATAAAGGACAAAGAGAAATAGAGCAAAGAAATAAATAAAAAAGGAAAAAACCTCATAGCTTGTCACTTTTTTCTCACGTGATGGGTGATATTTCTATGACCTCCACGCGCCTCTTAATTTACACAGGTCATTACTAATTGCCCAGCCCTCAGTGGACTTAACCTTGCACTACCATCACTGTGCTGTCACTTGAAATTGAGTATGACGATCATCCAGCTATGATACAATGATATGAGTTATTAAAGATGTCACCTTCGTTGGTGAGCCCAAGTGCCTCAAGAGGTCGATACGGGACTGGCAAGGCTGTCCACAGATTGCACGTATGGAGGGCAACAACTAGTGTGGGAGGGGTGGCAGAGGTGTCTTTCCGGCGCTGGCGTTTGTCTGCCTTGGTATGCAGTCAGGATAACTCGAAAGTATTGACACCTTCTCGTGGTGCCAACACAACCACAACGCCTTAAGTTACCGACCTATATGAGCCAGTGTCAAAGAGTAATCCGAGAAGACCGGATAACTCACCAACTGTTGTGATGAATCACTACCCTGGAACACGATCCGCAGATTGGTTAACATCCAGAGTCCCGATTACCGCTGGATAGACAGAGGTAAATAGCATAAAGAAACTTGCCCATAGTTTCACTCTGCTCGGAGATCGAACCCATGTCCATTTGCTTACGAGGTTTGCATGCTGACCATTACACCGCACATATACACATACGTCTTTAGACACTGATTAGTTCAATATCCCTGGATTGAAACATTAATTATATATGATGCTGACATCAAATGGACAAATTACATCATCATGGAAGCTCACCACCACTTCTTCCCTGAGAAGTCCATCAGTCTATACCGAGCTGATCTGGCCTGCATCTCACCTCAGACTATAAGATTTACAGCAGTGAAACAGGACTTTTCATCTCAATGATAACATCCTATTTAAGGTTCTTCGTAACAAAATCACCCGCGAAACACGCGCTCCAAAGAAGTCTTACTGCCCCGTCAACCTGCAACATCTGAACAAACTAATACTGCACTGCAATCATTTTGCAGCTATAAGCTCCCCCAGCTTAAAACACCTTTATACTAGCTTAGCTTCCACCCCCACCCCACTGACCCTATGCAGGAATTATCACCTGTTGTGCCGTTAAGTAGCAGAATCTTCTCACCTGTTGTAGAGTGGATTAACAGAATTCTCATCTGTTCTGGAGTGGGGTAACAGAATTCTTACCTGTTCTGGAGTGGAGTAACAGAATTCTCATCTGTTCTGGAGTGGGGTAACAGAATTCTCATCTGTTCTGGAGTGGAGTAACAGAATTCTCACCTGTTTTGGAGCGGGGTAACAGATAGGGTTGTTCGTGCTGTGGTCGTACACAACCATGTCATCTCCGAACTTCTTCAGAGACAGTGTGATTCCAGCCACCTGCCGAAACACCATCAGTTACTTGTTATTTCTTTAATTAAAAAACAAACGTTCGTACAGTATTGTCAAAATTTATCACCTGAAGATTTGTCTCACCAGTTTATTTCTCAACCTAAACTAAACTAACCTAACCTAACCTGAAGATTAGCCCCAGCTTATTTACTTTAATATTATCCACACTAACGCTTACCTAACGCTAATCTGACTAACGCTCACCTGACCTGACCTAACCGAACTTGTCTCACGCAGGACAATGTGCGGCTCAGAAGTAACACTAGCCACTTCGTTAAATAATGCCAGAACATAAACTACTTTGGATGTAGTAGACACTGAATGAACCTATTTTGCTATAGCTGAGGGCGACATACTGCGCCCACGAGTCTGACCATCGGTTGTTTTCGAGGAACACCTGAGAACCTGATCTATTGGCATATCAGTCCAGATTCTTGACCAGTTCACGTCAGATCTTAGCGCCGTGTAATAGCGGAGTCTGTTGAACCTGTATTCCTTTGGTTTCATTGTAGTCTCTAGTTTGAACGTTTACTGCAGGTAAAGTTTAGTTGACTTTGCATAATGAAGGTCCCAGGCTGCATGCAAGTACACTATATAAGTGGAGCCTTCAGTCACTACAGCGTTCTCCTCTTACTAAAAGCTGCATGATGTCAACAACCTTAATATAACGAACTCACAGCTGCTCAGATCAGTCACGGGAGCCTGTGTCTTAGGAGAGCCACAATTCCCTACAAAGCACTAGACTGCACGACAGTCTTCCAATGTGGCAGTGTTCTCAAGAAGAGGTACTTAACATACCTTCAGGTCATTCTTCAGTTTCAGCATATACACGGCCACTCGGCATACACACGGCCACTCGGCATGCACACGGCCACTGGCGGGCACTGGCATGCACGGCCACTCGGCATACACACGGCCACTCGGCATACACACGGCCACTCGGCATACACACGGCCACTCGGCATACACACGGCCACTCAGCATACACACGGCCACTCAGCATACACACGGCCACTCATAGTTCTTCCGGCCATAATGTGTCCTACAGTATAGCGCCCGTAAAGGACTGCAGGGTCTCACATCCGGGACACGTCATGGGGTAACTATATGTCAGTATTTTCGACAGTGAAACCAGTGTTGATTACTTGACTAAAGAACAAGATATACAGCAACTTCATTCAATGTCACCACTCTGCAAAGCTGTTACTCTACAAATCACAACTTTCGAAGAAATGACTCTGGTACCTCTACTTTCTATGAGGAAAATTAAGCTCATTCTACATGCATCTCGTCTCCTTGATGAACACAACTTGCAAACAGACACCTTATCGCAAGGACCATTTTGAGTCGAATCAACCCCCCCTCCCCCAACCCCATGCGCTCCTCTCAGACCCAGACTTTCATGAAATATCTTGTGTGAAGGTGTGGAACAACTTACCCCCACCCATCCGAGCTAAGACTACGCTCCCTTACTTTAAATCATCTCTTAAAAAATATCTACTGTCTAAGTATTAATATTTTTGCAATACCTACTTTATATTCTTACCTTTATTGTACCACCAAAACCATTATATCCTGTAGTGTTAGGTAGATATATAAATTACCATAACAATAATTATATATCAGCAGTCAAGACATGATCCTGATAGTTTTTGCCCTCTTGTTTCACCTTAATACAACCCTCACTTATAATAATGTATATCAACTCCAATGTAAAATATGCATATACTTATAATATAAATGTAAAAATAAAATAGTGATAATCTTGGTTATATTCTGATACGTTCTATTGTAGGCAGTAGGCAGCTACCAAACAGGGAGGTACTACCGCCTGGGAAGATATTGGAAGCATAATGTATCGTCTAATGGTAGACCCTGCTGCCTTATGGCATCACGAAAATTGTGACCAAGTCCCAGGTTGCTGATCTGACTTTCTGCCTCATTTACACACAATTGGAAGGTTTCAATTATTTCTCTTACTTTGACAACACAACATACATATATTGTTTCTCACTATTTTTTTTTCAATGTTTTATTTCTATGTGGTTCTTAATTATTATTATTATTTATTATTATTATTAGTATTATTTTATTAATTTATTTTTTTTATTTACTATGAATTATTATTATTACTACTACATTTTCGCCCCCCAGGCCCCGATGTGGGTCAGTGACCTGTGCCCAGGTGGGCTAATCCCCGTGG